GCTGTCTCACACACACACACACACACACACACACACACACACACACACACTTTCCCTAAACTTTTAGCAAATTAAATTTTATTGACACTCTGACAGATATCATAATTGCAGGACAGAATTCTTTGACCAATCAGGCTCTCCGGAGCAGATGATAATGATAGTAATTTACGGCTTTAAGTGCTTGTCCTACGTAACTTGTGACTCGTGACTCAGTGAATTTCACTGAATGAAATCAAATTTAGGGTACAAACTGTTCTACTCAGCAGCAGCGACCAATTAACTGTAGACAGGGCCAGTTACTCTGTTACCATGGCGACCGGAAAGACGCTTTTCCATGGCAATTGATGCTGTGATGAACATTCTGAGAAATACAGCTCTATACAGCAAGATTTCAGTGGACAAAAGCAACCAGTGGAAGCTGTTTTAGTTGAGATATGTCTAATTGCAATGTACAGATCAGGGATGTTGACTGAGCATTAAGGGAATTAACAGTGACGTGACTGGCAGCACATTTATAAATATTTATAAAAGCTGTTTGGATTTGTATTGCATCTTCTGAAACATAGGTTAGCTTTAGCCTTTAACAGTAAAGTCAGTGTTCAAATATTTAATAAGCATTTTTATTTAACATTATCAAATTGAATGTTTTGAAAATTCATTACATTAATTAGTTCTCATTCCTGGTTCATCTTGGGTCTTAAAACTCTCAAAACAGTATCAATCTAAGCAAAAGTCTGCATTTGTTCTCCATGAAATCATATTGCTCTCTAAGAGGAGAATTAGAGGAGTAATATTAAAGACATCTCATTTGTTAAATTTCATTCCTATAAAAAAAAAAAAAAGGGCTTGTAAATGCAGAACAATGTATTCCACAAACCACTAGCCAGCACAGTATATTTCCATCAAACTTTATTTATTTATTTTTTGGCTTACCACAGTGTTATTTTAGTATTATTTACATTTATATTATATTACTTATTAATATTTTTAATTTTCAGTTTTTATCTTAATTTTTAGTTTAAGTTTTAGTAATTTAGTTATATGTTTTTGTCACTTTAATTCACTTTAATTCATTTAAGAAAAATTGTAGTCTTAGTTTTAGTCATTTTAATACTTCAACTTAGTTCAGTTAGTTTGCGTAGCTAACTAACAAATTTTAGTTTTTGAAGTTTTCCATCGAATATTTATATTTTGTTTTATTACAGCTTTATTTCAAGGTTTTTAATAGTTTTAAATAACAATATCAACATTGGTTAACCATAAAGTTAATTAATTAGATTTTTATTGACAACATTTTTTATATAATTTTTATTTTTTACGTTAAAGGGGTCATCGGATGCCCATTTTCCACAAGTTGCTATGATTCTTTAGGGTCTTAATGAAAAGCCTATAACATACTTTGGTTAAAATGTCTCAATGGTAGTGTAAAAAACACCCTTTTTACCCTGTCAAAATCAGCTCTGTATTCAGCAAGCCATTCTAGTCCGTGTTGCTTTAAATACTTCGGTTAAAATTTCTCAATGGTAGTGTAAAAAACACCCTTTTTACCTTGTCAAAATCAGCTCTGCAGAAATCAACCCATTTTTTTGCATGTTGCTTTAAATGCTAATGAGCTTTGCTGACCCCGCCCCTCTCTTCCGTGGGGTGACGAGCAGACTGTAAACTTCAGCCGCGAAACTTGTTAACTAGCACATATTAGGAAAGGCGATTTGCAAAGATTCATTAAAAAAACCCTTATACTCACTTCTTCTGTAGATGAAGCTGGATCATGAATGATTCGCGCAAACTTAAACGCATTTAGCAGATCGGGGATCGGCGCATTCCTTTCAAAAACGAAAGTAACATTAATCCTCTGCGTCTTCAGCGGCTCAGATATGGGGAGTAAATGACGACTGTTATGTTCATTATTACATTCAGCAACAAAACACCTCAATCGCTTAATCGGAGACATTCTTGTCTTCCCCTGCACCGGAGTCAACACAATGGCGGACAGCTCTCAGCTCACTCAGGGCGGGTCTTAAGGTAAGACGGACTTGTCAATCAACTATCGTGGGAGCGGCCGTAGCAGAACTACGTCATACTGACAGGAATCTCAGAACAGCCTGATTTGAGAAAGGGGATTTTAAAATAGGGATTTAAAAAAAACACTGGGTGGATTTTTATCAATATAGGATGGATGTGTACACACACTTCCAACATACATTTATGTTCAAACAACTTGTAAAGTGAATTTTGCATCCGATGACCCATTTAAAGCATAATTCCTTGTCTTGTTCCTCCTACACTGGGTGGATTTTTATCATTATAGGGTGGATGTGTACACACACTTCCAACACACATTTATGTTCACACAACAACAAAAGTGAATTTTGCATCCGATGACCCCTTTAAAAAAGCCTGCCAATGTCATTTTTTTAATGGCCTATATTATTTTTTTCTAGTATTCTGATGACAGAATAAAAGGCAATGTTTTAGTCACAATCACCCACACTCACACACTGAAAACAAACATACGTATCCTCAAGTAGAAATGCTTTTGAAATAACTGAATGACCTTAATGAATGAAATGAATTTCTTAAATATATAGTTCAGTCATGAAACTCTAGATGGCGCATTCTGACGGGGTGTTAACATAACTGATGATATTCAGAGAGTTAAACGACTTGGCACAAGCTGATTGGTTCATGCTGCATATGCACCCAATGAGCTTACTGCCTTGCATTTATATGGCTGCCTTGCATTTATATGGCTGGCTAGCATTCACTTGAGATTCCTGCAGCGCGCTTTCAGAGTTCTCTGAAACCCTCCACCTTCCCCAGCTCCACCTGTATAGATCTGCTACGGGGTTATTTTATATGCTATTTGTGCAGCAGCAGCATGTCTTAAATACTCACTGCACCGTATCGCCATATGCATTGGCAGTAGCAAGTTACTGTACTTGCTTGCAGCAGCAGCAATAATCTACAACTACAGCAATAACCAACAGCAGCAGCAATTCAGCAGCAGCGTAGCAGATCTGTTCAGCCAAGACCAAATGCATTAACATTGTCATATCCATCACCATGCTAAAATGGTCAGAGAGTTGTCATGATTGAAATGCATTTTACTGTCCTTCTTTCTAAACCATGGCTCTGTGCTCTATTAATCAGCGAGGAGCCGCTTCAAAGCGTAGTGAAATATTCAGTGTGGTTGACATATATGTGGCTGTAATGTATATCAGGAAAGCATAGCTATGCTATGCATATTTATATACAAATGTCTGAGTGAATAGGAGAATGTGGGTGCGTACCTTCACAGTCAGATGGCTCTGTGCTTCCTTCTTCCTTGTCAGAGAGCAGCCGTTTAAATTTGTGATGTTGCCCTGGTGCATTCTGGGTGTTGAGCTCCGTAACACCCAAACAGAAGCTTTGTGAGCGGGAAACCGAGATCTCAAACTGCTTTGCTAACTCACCATCGCTGTCTGACGAGCTGGAAATCTCTCCATCATCGCCGTAACTATTCACTACACACACAGATGGGCAAAAAAGAGACAAACAAAAAAGTTACAAAAAAATTTGGATAAAGATAAATGCAGAGAAAATGAATGAATATGGACCAATATAGGCCTACCAGCCATAATTCCAAGGCATTGCTATGTGGTTGCTATGGTGTTCTGGGTAATTACTCTGCCATTACCATTCCCATACTAGGTGGATGACAGGTTGTTGCTAACTAGCTTAAGTCAAAAGAGTCTTTCTTTAAGACATTTTGATCCCCTAGAAATGGCTCCAGTTCCTTGTTCAATGCAAGTCTATGGAAATTTTTGCCATGCTAGCAGCATTCAAGTAAGAAATGTCTTCTTATTAAAGCTATAGACATTATTCATTTCACAGCAGTGAGTGATTTTCTGCTTTTATTTTATTTTTAGGGTCATATTAACAATGTAAACAACAGTAGGTACTGTATGTTACGCTGCTGTCACTTACACAGATATAATATAAACATGTGATTTCTTTCCCAGATGTTTACCTTCACAGACACAACTGACTGTGTTTTTGTAACTTATGTGTGTTTTTCACATAAACGTGTGCATTTGACAGTTCATGCGCATATGACATGAAAGAGAACTTAGTTTAGTACAATCAAAATAGGCATTTTCAAAATGATATAATAAATTATCTGTGAGGTATTTTAAGCTGAAATTTCACAGACACATTCTGGGGACACCTGAGACTTGTATTACATCTTGAAAAAAGGGGCATAATAGGTGCCCTTTAAAATAACCGATTTCTTTTAAAATACATATTTTAAAATGTAATTATTCATGTTTAAACTTTGATACTTTTTTCAGGATTAAAAAAAGATTCAAAAGAACAGCGTATTTATTTCAAATCTAAATATTTTCTAACATTATAAAAGTTTTTTACTGTCACTTTTGATCAATTTAATGCAGCCCTGCTGAATAAAAGTAATAGGGCCTAAATTCTTTTTTTTTTTACTGGTCCCAAATGTATATGCAGTATTAATAGTGATAACTGCCGTAGCAACACCATTAAAATAAAAGACCAAAAAAACAGAAAAACATTCACTTCATACTGATGCAGGACACTCTGACCACAATAACTTGTTCCACAACCCCCCCACATTCCATAAAGTGAGAGAGAAAGACAGTGTTGTTGGTAGGTGACTCAGACATGTTGGTATTTTTTAATGGTAATGTAGAGTGTATGTAGAAAGGCATGTCTACCAAATGCACCTAATCGTAAGAGAGTGGCCAATTAGTGTCTTTGGGTCTCTTTTTTCTCTCTTATCCATTATAGTTGTACTTCCATTCATTGCACTGCATTTCACCACATCATTCACTCACACACACATCAAATTAGGCCAAGTAGCTATGTAAGGAGCAGCATAGAAGGTTGCCATGGTTACCAGTCCCTCACACTGAAGTGCTTTCCTCAATGTACGCACTGAGTGCGTTCCATATGACATAAATAATACCTACGCTTTGAATCTGAAAGAAGAACAATCACAGCAGCTGTGCCATTCCAAACAGAACAGCTCATAAATAACTGCAGCAAAGAACTCTTCAAAACAAATGTCCTTGTAGAGTCCAACTCGTGGACATTTTGTATAAAACATATATTAAACCAAGTTTACCTCTCTGATTCTGTACAGAAAAAAAAAATTATTTCATTACATTTATAAATAAATAAATATTTTAACTATTTGAATGAAAACTTACTGTAGTATGAATAAATATGAATTAACAATGAACAGTATATTTAGAAATTGCAATGATAATTTTTTCAAAAGATTAAAAAGCATTTAATATTTTTTCAAAATGCTAATATTTTTTAAAAAGTTTTCATTTTAAAAAGTTTTCATTTTAAAAAGGTTTTTTTAAAAGATTGAAAAAAGTAAAAAAATAAAAATAAAAACAATATGAACTGTTCATTTACTAGGTGACAGACATTTACTTATTTAGTTAGTTAGTGAATTAATGTGAATTTCAGAATCTTTCTAGCTCAGACCTATAGAAATATCTATATTTTATCCAGCCTCTTATAGAAAAATGAAATTATTTCCAAACATTTGCTGGCTAACTTTCTTTCAAAATTAAAAAAAAAAAAAAAAAATTTTTTAGAATGTCCAAGATCTTAAAGGGATAGTTCACCCAAAAATGACAATTCTGTCATCATTTACTTGCCCTCAAGCTGTTCCTGACATGTATAAATTTCATTATTCCGCTTAACACAAAAGATATTCTGAAGAATATTTGCTGGTCAGTTGACTTCCATAGTAATATTTTTCATACTATGGAAGTCAATGGGGACCAACAACTGTTTGGTTACCAACATTCTTTAAAATATTTTTTTTCATGTTCCACAAAAGCAAAGGGTCAGTGTCAGCGAGTCAGAATTTTCATGACATAATTTTCATTTTTGGGTGAAATATTTCTTTAACAAGCATGTTAAGAGTATCATAGGTGGTGTTTATTAACTAGACTATGTATGATTGAATTTTTGTATGTGTGTGTGTGTGTGTGTGTGTGATCGTGTGTGTGTGGGAGTGAACATGGCATGTGTATTTGATATGTGTGTATGTGTGTACAGTGTATTCATGTGTAAATTAAATGACTCCTGTTTGTTTTGAGAGGGCGTTCTCAGTTTACTGAATATATTAAATATCCAGAAAGATGAAACACACACACACACACGAGGCTGTGTCTTAAACTCTGCATATGAGTGACTGTGTGTCTGTGTTTAGTGGCTTTCCAAGCAACAGAATTTCTCAGAAACTTTTGCAAACAATGAAAATTTAATATGAAAAATCGACAAAAAAGATATCTGAAAGCTAAAGCTAAACCGAATGTGCGAGACTTCCAATTCATCAGCCGCTAGCATAGACAAATAATTAGAAGAATAATAGAGTGCAGTAAACAGTAAAGCTATTTGTGCTAGAAGCCAGTGTACATATGATTATTATGATAAATAATAATAATAATAAGATAACAAATACCAGGTTGCAATATTAAGCAGCATAACAGTCTGTTTTTGTACAGCTAAAATGGAATAATCATCTGACACTGGAAGCCCTGCACATTTAAGTTACTAATTGTCGCATTAAAAATTAGGTGGACTGAACAACCCAAAGCTTACTGTAGCAAGGAGGAAAAACAAATTTAAGACCCTAACAAACACTAAAACTATGAAGCTACCAGTCAAAAACAGGTAACAAAACCTTACACAGCAAACATGTAACCAGTTTACAAGAACAGAACCACCAGTGATGTTTAAACTAAACAAACGAACAGCAGTCTCAACAAAAATGGACCAAGAAGATGAACCAAGCCAACTTCTAACCCACATCTTACCAGCATCAGAGCAGCGTGAAGCCAGGAGACTCCTTCTGCTCTCCAGCTCATCTGTCTCTTCACTGATGGGAGTCAGGCGTTCGGCAGAGGGGGCATAATCAAACCTGCTGCCCTGACCTCGCAACGCCAGCTTCTCCTGTGGATCCACTCCAGATCCATGAACAACCCTCAAGTTCTGCTCCACCTCTGAACTCTCATCTTTTACTGAGACCTCAGAGTCAACAGCTCCGTTTTGGCCGAGGCGGCGGAAGCCATTGGAGAAAGCATCTGAAATCTGAATGAGCCATGAAGAGAAGGCTGGGATACCTGCCTGAGGAACATCTGCCATTCCATCAGATTTCAAAATGTTTTTCTCAACACTTTTGACAACAGCTCAAAAGAAGGTCTATTTTCAGATGCACAGAAGACCCTGTGAATTCCCACATGTTGTTACTGTTTTAAAAACAAAATCAACAGAGCTTATACAGTACATATATTTACTTTCTATAGTGCAACTAACTACCACAATTTGTACGGCAGACAGACATCAAGCGTAACTGCCTTCAGCTATTTGATGAAAACTGTTCTAAATAATACAGTTTAAACTGTTTTAAATGGTATTACAATTTTGTCCGAAACCAATAATAAAAAAAAAATGTTTTATTCTATTTTTTTTATGGCCAATATCTATGGAAGCCCGTTTCCGCCACAGAACCAAAAAACAAAAAAGGTAATTGTGACTTTTTATCTCACAATTCTGACCTTTTTTCTCACAGTTGCGAGTTTACATCTCGTAATTCTGACTTTTTTTCTCAAAATTGTGACATATACAGGTGCATCTCAATAAATTAGAATGTCCTCAAAATTGTGAGAAATAAAGTTAGAATTAAAAAGTCAGAATTGCGAGTTTTTAAAGTCCAATTTTGAGGGGGAAAAAAGACTGATATGTTCTCAGAATTGCGAGTTTATATCTCACAATTCTGACTTAATAACTCACGATTGCATCTTATAAAGTCAGAATGGCGAGATATACAGTAAACATACAATTCTGGGAAAAAAAGTCACAATTTCGAGTTTATACCTCCCAATTCCTACTTTATAACTCGCAATTGCGAGTTTATATCTCATAATTCTGAGAAAACAGTGTAAATTACGAGTTTGTATCACGCAATTCTAAAAAAACAGTCTGAATTGTGAAAAAGGTCAGAATTGTGAGATGAAAAGTCCTGTATGGAAGTATGGATCCACAATTACCTTTTATTATTCAGTGGCGGAAACGGGCTCAACTGATATCTGGGTAATATTAAAAATCTTTACTATTTTGTCTAAATAAATAAATTAATAAAAAAAACTAAAATCAGTCAATCAGTTATTTATAAATGCTACAAGTGAATTTAGTCATTACAGTATTATAATACACAGTATGAAAATAAATAGTCATTTTGAAATTGGTCAAAGACTGCATTTAACGATGTTATTAAATTGTCTGTGTTTCTAAAGATAAACTTTTAGTGAGCGCTAGATGATGGTAGAGGTAATCTAAACGTAAAAATATGAAAAACTAGCATGCACAATTAAATGTCCAATTCCAATAACTTAAAAAAATCTCAAATATCAGCCAATAACTGATATGGTACCGATATATCGTGCATCCCTAGAACAAACACTTACCAGCATGGCTTCCTCAAAAAACAATCAGTTACTCCATTTAGAGCCCCTGCACCTCAGAAACTATCTACATATAGCAAACCGTCATCCAAACCAGTTCAGCAGCACCTGAAGCATGGCGTTTAACTAGCTAGTAGACTCAGGACATCTCATAGGACAGACAGAGTGAATGTTTACTAAAGGAGCTGCTTTGAAATACCACAGCAGAACTTCCTCAAACACCCAGCTGATATACTGACTGTGTAATGTGTGGGAGTCTAACCAAAAAGTGCAGGGTTTACTCATAGGTGTGTGTGTGTGTGTGTGTGTGTGTGTGTGTTTTCCAGGAATGAATAGAGATAGGGACAACCCACAGAGCACACATAGCTGTGTGTGGTTCATTGCATATAACATACAGATAATTGGATCCCAATAACTCCCCCTGTCTGCCAATGGTCATCAAACAGACTACTATTATATTTACCTTGGATATAGGAGAAAGTATTTTAGTAATGAAGTTCACCTTTTGCAAAAAAGAGCAAAAGAAAGTCAGCAAAAAATGTTTGTCTGAAGAATAATACTCACCGAGTCCCTGGTGAATCCCAGCGCGGTCTCTTCGTTTGCGCCGGCTGTACTGCTCAAGGCACGGCAGACCTCCAACACGAGCGAAACAAAGCTTCTTATTGATAAAGAGGAAGAGTATGGCCAGCAAAACGACAAAGATGCCCACGGCTGACAGGAAGCCCACTGCCTCAGGAGTGACTGGTGAGGGAACAAACACACAGATACACATTGATCAAAAGCATTTAAGTACAGAAGTTCAATTTTTATATTGTATTCATTATATTTTCCATCCCTTAAAGGGATAGTCTATCCAAAAATGAAAATGATGTAACTATTTACTCACCTCATGTCGTTCCAAACCTACATGACTTTCTTCTGTTGAACATAAAAGAAAATATTATAAAGAATGTTGATAACCAAATAGTTTTGGTTCCTATTAACTTCCATTGTATGGACAAAAAATACAGTGGAAGTCAATGGGAAACAAAACTGTTTGGTTATCAACATTCTTCATAATATCTTCTTTTATGTTCTACAGAAGACAGAAAGTCATACAGGTGTTGGAACAATATGAGGGTGAGTAAATAATGACATAATGACATTTCCTTTTTGGAGACATTTGGTTGGTCTACACCAGGGGTGCCCAAACTCGGTCCTGGAGGGCCGGTGTCCTGAAGAGTTTAGCTCCAACCCCAATTAAACACACCTGAACCAGCTAATCAAGCTCTTACTAGGCATACTAGAAACTTGAAGGCAGGTGTGTTGAGGCAAGTTGGAGCTAAACTCTGCAGGACACCGGCCCTCCAGGATCGAGTTTGGGCACCCCTGGTCTACACCATGTTGTTGGCAGGGTTTACGATGCTTGTGGGGACATTTGGTCCTCACAACCTTATGTAAACCCAACCCACACACAGGTGAATGCAGACTAGGGGTGGAACGGTTCACGGAAAAAAAATGTAACCGTATGGTTCTCCACACACGGTTCAGCAATATGCCATCATCACCCGGATGTTGATAGCGCGCATGTGCAGGTAAGACCTGATGTTGTGTTTAAACTAAACTCATTTAAGCCTTGCCAGAAGACGCAAACTCGTGAGAAGATTTGTGTGCGCTCATCCGAAGCGCGCAACCCACATGCAATATTGAGTTCTCTAAACAAGTCTTGTGCTTGAATGGACAAATTCACACAAAAATGATGTGAACATGCCCACCTTGGCAAGTATCCTAGAAGACTTTTAGTCGGTTGAACATACAGTATCAGTGTACTGGATCCATGCTTTGTCTCAAAGTGACAGCACGTTTTTTAATCTTAATCAAACAACAAAAGACAAGGAAATCACGCACTGCTCTTGATTGAATAGCTTTTGTAACTTTAATAAAGATTCATCTTTAATTTATAGAGTCAAATATGCAATGCTGTTTTACATTTGATTACTTTATTCAATTTCTGTACCTGAAAACTAATGCTAGACCTATCTAAAAAAAAGTGATACAAACCGAACCGTGAGTAAGTTGAACCGTTCCACCCCTAATGCAGACGCCATAATAATATTATAGAGTAGCTTCACCCTTTAACATTTTTACACATCCTTTTATAAAACCGCTAGTTACACAAATGACCCAGAATACCTTGTGATTTTACAGTTCCTAGAATAAACTGTGAAGCTAATGATGTATTTGCACATATATTGTATTTAGCCCATATTGTCAGGCACATGGTTGAATTCATCTGGCACTGCACTCTACAAATTATTTCTCAGCACTATATTACTATATATAGACACACTACCATTCAAAAGTTTAGGATGCATAAGATTTTTATATTTAAAAAAAAAAGGCTCTAATAAAAAAAATGTAAAAATAGTAATGTGATGAAATATTACTATAATTTTCTATTTTAATTTATTTAAAAATATATATTATTGCTGAATTTTCAGCAGACATTACTCCAGTCATGAGTGTCACATGATCCTTCAAAAATCATTCTAATATGCTGATCTGAATTCATCGAGATCTAATCAGATTAGATCTCATATATATATATAAACTGCTCTAATGAATGCAAATTATTGAAATGTTTGTGCCACTGATTAAATTAATTTGCTGCTATGATGTATTATATAATGGATTTTAAAATAACATAAAATATACACAAAGAAGTCTAAGAACACAGATGTCTTCCTAAGCTAGATTTCCTACTTAAAAAGGGTTGTAAAAGTGATCTGAAATGCTAATTGAATGCTATTTATTACAGCACTGCTCAAAACGTGTACTACAACAGAACAGAATTCATAACTAAACGTATTTGCAGATGCCAGTTTATATAAGTTCACTTAGTCATATTGCTCACAGTTGCAATATATTTTCATTAAAAGGGAATTTGTTGACTACTGTAGGACTGATCTCTGCCTGGTGGAAAACAGCCCTTCAGCAGACAGAGAGAAACCATGGCTTCATATTCAACACATATTCATCAAAGGTGCTTTGAAGTGAACACTTCAAGTGTAAAATAGACCATTAAGTTGCATAAGAGTGAATATTTCACTGAGTCTGAGAGCGCAGGCACTTCTGAGTGTGTGTTTACATGTGTGTGTGTTGAATGAAAGGCTGAAGCTGAACACTATTATGCTGAACCATCTAATCTGCACCCACACACACAAGCCAATTGCACAGTTACAGTTGTCGCTGAGATGAACACAACTACCACTCACACAAACAAATGTGAAAAACAGAAGCAAAAATAAATATGGTTATAAAAACAAGAACGAGAAAAGAGTAAACCTCCACTCACTTCCATTGCATAGAAAAGAGCAGCATGAACATTCTGCCAAACATATTCTTTCATGTTTTTATGAGAAAGTCAATCATACAGGTTTGGAATGACATTAGGGTGAGTAAAATGTTAACAAAATTTTCATTTTTTGGGTGAACTTGCCCTTTAAGATTCAAGTGAGATTAAATGCACTGCTGCATAGGGCTGTGAATTTCATATCCAAACACTTGGCCATGCTCTCTGCACTCTTCTACATGCGCAAGCAAGAACACACTGACCTTGTAAGCACAGAAACAGACATTCACACACACCCACATGGACCTCTGTACTGCATGAGCAGGATGGTTTCCTTGGAAACAACTCAA